CTTAATAAAACTTATCTATCTATGATAAGACATTACGATGTTTTTAAATTAGATAATTATATCTGAATATAACATAAGATTCGACTCCTCCGCTGTTCAAAATGATTCAAAATCAAAACTAATTAATGTTTTTGCTCCTATCAAATATCCACGAATATAACAAAAACCATTATTGCTTTGTAGCTATTCACAAAAAAATTGCTAAATTTATATGAAATTTTATATATCTGATTTCCAATTATACCCTATTAATGACCAAAATCCTCAGGCAAATTTTTATTAGAAACAATAGTACTAATCTACTATTTTAACCACAAGGAACGTTATGGATTTAGTTATATTACAATAGTTAATGTTTAAATAAGTTATTACATAAAATAAATTTGTATACTACAAATATCATTGAGGGATGCTAAACAAAGGAGAAAGTTCATTAACAAAATTCAGAGATTCAAGCCTACACCTAAACTTATCTCTAATTAAAATATCATTTTAACCATCTTTTCTTTCTAAATTTGGAGGATTTGTCTAAAATTTATCATTAATCATCAAAAAATTTATGAAATACGTTATATTCTTTGAACATAAACGTGTGTCATGTTTTCAATTTTATGTATTTTATTCATCTTTTCCATGTAAAAGCACGATAAGTATTAGTTAGATAAATACTTTCTTCCAACATAAAATGAACAAAACTGAAATTTAATTGATATTTTATTAATATAAACAAGTACAGTACATTTATTTAAATACACGCTTTATTTTTTATTAAGGATGCACTTTATACACTTTACAATCCAGTAGATAATTAAAATTAATTACGTTAGTCTCAAGTGACGGAGTACCGCTGTTATATATATAGAGAAATATTGAAATTTAAGCTATATAAAATGCTATTTTTCAATTATAAGTTTATGTAACAAACTCAATTCCGTACGAACGGTAACATTAAGTGCGAGAATAATTTCGATATTTTTCATTTGGAAAGGGGCAGAACACGTCGCGATATTCCTGGCGAATACTATTTATAACCTGGCACGAAAGAACATTTTTATTTCCATAAAATATTTTTAAAATATCCATTTTCGTATTCGCTACATGCATCGCCTTTTTAAAACACAATCTTCTAGCAACAATAATAGAGGGAGGCCCGGGTTTCATTCAGCGCTGCCATTTGCCAGATATCAGTTCTCTCGTTGGCCACATTTATCATCTTCATCGAAAAGAAGGAGCCGATAAAAACTTGCCAAATTGAATTCACCCGTTAAATCGTTATCAGAATGATGCTTGGTGTTTGTACACGGACTATTACATCTCTATCAAAGCTGCGGGGATGCGGTATCGTTATGTAAACTTCTATTTCAATGTAATTAGAAAAGTCGGCAATTGAGATATGCCCCACGGCCGCGGGGCATACATCATCCTAATCTGACAACTAACTCCACCTGGCGACGGTCTGATAGACGGATTCGTACCCGGGGATTGTCTCGTCTTTCGAATGGCGATTTTCCCAAAACCGTAATCCGCCGTTAAAGTTTTTATCCTCTCTGAGAAGAATAGATGGACTCATCTGAATCCTCTTAATACAAAAATTGCCTTCTACTGATTTCAGATTTCTGCTCTTCTTTCTTTTCCCTTTATTCCTCTTCTCGATGTCGGTCAGATTATGATTATCGAAAAAAGAAGACATTTTTCTACAATTTCGGCTCCTTTTCTAAGTCTAAAATATGTTAAATACATTTTTTATATACGTGGAAATAGAGAGGTGTAGCGAGAGATGACGTAGCAACTTATAGTTTTCTATAATTGATGCGGTTAGACGTATGAAAATCAATTAATCTAAAGAATTTCCTTTTCAATTCTAGCTTATTTTTTTTTTTTTTAGTTGTAATCGTTAATTAATTTTTTAAAAAAGTAATTTCATTCGGGTGAAAATATATTTTTAAACGTAAAAAGAAAAGCTATTTTAATCTGTAATTATTCTAATTTCAGATATAAAATCATAACTGTACTGGAGGGTATACAGTATATACTATAGTATAATATATATAGTATATAAACACTGTATATATTGTGTTTCTTCCTACATATATCTTCTCTCTGCTTATATGAACCTTCACATTTACTATAATTATACCAAAATATACGTAAAGATAATAGATAAAATTATTTGTTATTTTAAATTATTAAATCGACATCTTTATTTTTTTACAATTGCTCGTTTTCTTCCTTCTAAAACCAATTTTAAATGTTAAATAAAATATTTTAAAAAAAATGGTAAAAATACCGTATACGCTCTGCTCAGTTTACAACTATATCTTTCTTGATAACTATTATCCATAAATTCTTATTTGCTATTGGTCTATTTATTTGTATAATACGCTCCAATTCGACGGGATAAAAATCGGGAGAAATTTTTAAGCGATTTTTACCATTTTAAATAGAATAGAATGCCTAAACGACGATTCGTTCTTTTGCCTCCATTACATCTCTAATGTACTCTGTGCGGTACGTATTCACAATCGAGGATCAAGAGTTATAAGTCAACCAATAAGCATTCGCCTACTTAATGCAGAATGATTTGTAATTGGTTAACGACCGACTCTGACTCACGATCCTTAGCCGAGAACACAAACGTGGAGATTATTTATTAAATAAAGATGTTCTTTATTCAGAAAAAAAAGCATTTGTAATATTATTTTAATTGTAAGTAAATTCGATAAATTGTTTAATATTAATGCGTTAATCGTAAATCAAAAATGTATTGAGAGATTGTTAATAAAGGTTTAATTATAGAGTTATTCTTTTAAAATCTCTCCCTCTCTCCAACTTGCATCCTCCACGAAGAGAGTCCATTTTTCTCCATATAAAAGAGTTTAAATACAATGAAACCTGTGTAAACTAGACTCGAACGGGTTTGAGCATTTATAGGCCCTATATATATGTATTTTTAACACAAAAATTCCGAATATTTTATAAATTATAATAAACAAAAGTCGAATTGTAAGCCAACGAAGCAAAGACGAATAAAAAAAAAAAAGAATTAAATTTTTTTAAATGAAGAACGTGTTTGATGGGAGTGATAAGATAGTGTTAATGAGGAGTGAGATTCGATATGGAAGAAGAAAACGTCCATTATAATTATGAAGATTTCAAATTACTAACACTTAAAAGTTCTTTGTATTTATCGTTTGTATATTTTATAATGCAAAAATGTTTTATGTAGCCTATAATATAAAAACTCGAATTTTTAATTATAGACATTAAGTCTTAATTTCTTTTATAGCTTTTAAATCCGGTCCTCAATTTTTTTTTTTTTTTAAAGTTATCTTGGAATAACAAATTAATTGCTTAATTGGTTGATTGGTTATTCACATCACGGCAATATAATGCTTACGTTTTAATCGCTTTATATCATGGGCTAACGAAGAGTCGTCGAAATAATTTATTTTCGATATCATTTAAAGAATATTTTCCTTTCTAATTAAAGGATTTTGTCTGTTTATTTTTATTTTTTCGAATAAATATCAGAGATTATTAATAATTTAATTACAGAAAGGATGTCTAAGAGGATTTTTATCTCTTTCTGGGTGTGCGGACACAGAAGAATCCCAAAAATTTACTTTGTTACATAAAAAAACACATAGAAAAGTAATATAAATTAAACTTTCTTTTGATAAGTGGTGAAAAATCAGTTTAAATTTGTTTTACTGATTTTAATTAAAGATTTTTATGGTTATTAAGCTGAGACGGGTCCTACTTCCGAATTGATTTGGATCCTTTCTAACACTAAAATATTTTAATTGTAAACAAAATTTGTATAAAAGAAATATTAAGTGTTTAAAAATAAGTAAACATATAAAATTATTATGAAGTAATACCTTAAAAACTAAACGATTGTATAACATTTTATTGATATTATAGCTGAATATTTCATAGTTTAACGAAGTATTTAATATTTTGTAGTTTTAAAACAATTTATATAACATAAATCAATTTAGTCGCAGTATAACTCGAGTATAAAAGATATAAAAACTCTAATATTTTAAATGATTTAATGAAATAATTTTTTAAATGAACAAGAACTATTTATTTTTTATGATGATGAAAACATTGAATTGCAATTGATTTTTACGCTCTTTAAGAAAGAGAACAGTTTAAAACACTGGAAATTTAAGTCATTTAAACCTATAACCGTATAAATAAACTATAAAATTAAATATAAGCTACAATAAATAGTTTTGTTAAATAAAAATAAGTAACTTCCATTATTTATTTATTTATATTTTTAAAGTAAAAAAAAGTAATTTTAGATATTTTATCTTTCTTTCTTTTGTATTCACAATGCTTTTTCCAGTTTTACTGAATCAAAATATGCAAGTTTTTATATACTCTTGACTAGAATAGTCATTAGTTAGAATAAGTGAATTTATAAAAACAGTAAAAGAAAAAGAAAAAAAATGCTTTCAGTATATTTTTTAAATATGAATTTCAAATAGATTTATTGACAAATGCAAAGCGAGTCGTTTAATCATTGTACTGTATATTTGAATTTCATAAACTTAAAATGGATAAACTGTAGCCAACTCCTTTGTGAAATTAATATTAATAATTATATTGTAATCTGTATTTAAACTTTGATTGAATTAAGCTATAAATTAAATCATTTCGTTTTATTATTATTATTATTATTTAAAAACTTTACTACAAAACTTTCTATACTAGAAGACTAATGATGAAGTGATTTTTATTATGATAAAAAGTACTTAAGAGGAGAGGATGCTTATTAATTAAGAAGATAATATTCTATAAAAATAATTTTTATGATAGAAAATTACTGTGTATATAGAATTCGAGGAAATAAAACGGAATAAGAAAAGTGAATTAACAAAGATATTGTAAACTTTTCTGAACGTTATTTACGATTAATTTTTACTAAATTAATTTAAGAAATTGTATTAAAATGGATGAAATTTATACAAATATGCAAATGTTTTCAGGTCCACGATCCAGACGATCAAAAGAAAAGAAGAAAGCCGACGAGAAAAGACCAAGGACAGCATTCACTTCCGATCAATTGGCCAGGTTAAAAGAAGAATTTCAAGAAAATCGTTACCTAACAGAAAAACGAAGGCAATATCTCGCGAGGGAATTAAAACTAAACGAATCACAAATAAAAATATGGTTCCAGAATAAAAGAGCCAAGATTAAAAAAGCCAGCGGTCAGAGGAACCCTTTAGCTTTACAATTAATGGCTCAAGGACTGTATAATCACAGTACGAAACTGCTAATGGAAGAAAATGGAAGAAAGAATACCTCATCGACGGCATTATAGATTTACATGTGATATCAAACTATTTATTAAGCGAAAAAAATAAAATAAAATAAACTGAACATTCCTCGATTCCATAATAATGTAGTTACCAGAAAAATCAACGGCCACGTCGTAGACTAATAAAATTACTTATTTGAACCGGTAGAAGCTAATTGTACGAAAGATGTCTTATCAATGGTTGTCTCTTGTGTATCGTTGTTTTGTAATTAATCGGAGAAGCTTAGAAATAACGCAGCTTATCTGATATTTACTGTGATTGACCAACGAATTGAATGTATTAAAAATAGAGTTAAAACTATGTCTCTTGGTGTCTGATTTTTCATTCAGTTCTTTCGTTTGTGGCCTGTGGAAAGTAATGAAAATTCTCGAATTCGTCTCTTAAAAAAACAGGAAAACAAAATATAAAATAAAAATTCAAAGCTAATGTAACAAAATACAAATTTTAATCTATGTGTAACTGCATACATAAAAAATGCTGAACTTATATTTGAATTAAAAAATATTTAGTTTAAATATAATTAAAGTGTCGATTTATGAAAATTGTAGAGTAAATAACTCCATAATTATAGAAACGAAATGAAATAAATTACCGAATTTTAACCACTTCTAACCACTTATTAATAAGACGAAGCCACAGATTTATCGTAAATGTAAGAAGAAAGTTACGAATAAAATACACTGTAACTTATATAAAAAATTTGGAAGAACTAATAATATAAAAAGAATTCTTCCCATTGATTTACATCCCTTTCAATCATTTATTTATTTATTTATGAACGATTCAGAAATCTTAGTTTGATTTTTAATATTTCTGTTACTCAATTTGAGGTTTGAATATTAATTTGGCTAATTCAATTTATGAATAATACCATTTTTTGTGGAGAGATGAAATTCTTTTTTTTTTTCATTCGTTTATTTTAACAGTTTATGTCATAAAATACATTTATACAATCTGATGAAGGTGGAAAAAAAAAGCTTAATTTATGAGCTAAACACCGTTCGTTTAACATAGTTTCTTTCTATTTTATTATCATTTAATGATTGTAACATAAACACTTATTATACATATTATCTAGAGATTTTGAACATTTAATACCTTAAAAAAAAACCTAAATTATCTTGGAATAATCTTGAAGGTTAGATTAATTAAAAATTATAATTTGAAAACAAGTTTAAGTTTATGCCACAAGGAAAAAAGAAGACATTTCTCTTTAGTTGTTTAGCAGGGACTCTATCCATATATCATTATATTATCCGAAAGTTGGCCTTGATTATCAAGGACAAGAAACTCAATTGGGCAAGCTTCGATGTAGAGAGATAAAAGAAATAGTGTTCATATTAACTATAATTATTTTCTCTGTGTATAAATAGGATATGCATAAAAAAAGCTAAATCTCCAATTAATATCAAATATGGCAATTTTTATTAAAAATTAGATATGAAATTGATTTATATTCTCATTTAATTATTACAAAAGCTAGTTGCTTTCTATTGTTTTACACACATTACGTGATCCTTTACGAAAATATTTATAATAAAAGATACGTAATTACAAGTTTATGATTAGTTATACTTATTATAACCTCAAACTATGAAAACAATATATATAAAAATGTAATTAAAACATTCTTAAGAATGTATTATTTCCATTAAAACGTCGGTAATTTCTATTAATATAAGTATTTTTCAGTAATTGTATGTCCAATAGAAGGCCTTGAATATTCATAAATCGTCTTCTTATATTGATAAAAACCCATTAAGAAGTATTATCAAAGTCGAATAATTATAAAATTATGTCATAAAATATTTAAGATGCTCCGATGAAATTTTCCGGACGGGCCTTATTGATTGATAATTACATTATTATATTGGATCATTGGATATTTTATAAACTAAAACAACATCGGGCCTGTATGCTGTGAGACTTGGAGAATAGGATTACTGTAAAGGTAATTTTAACATACATAAATGTCCAACATAAAATTGGACATACTAAATTTAAATATTGTCTAGTTTTTAGGATAATGTAACGTTTAACGTTTTATTCTTATGGTCTAAATAAGGGGTCCTTTCCAAGAGGAAGGTTATATAAGTAAATTTAAAAAATAATAATNAATAATTCATAAGTAATTTTCTAAATAGCATTTTGTGTATTGCTTAGATACACTGAAAAGAATGTATAATATAAACTATTAATTAAAATTAAAAAGAATCGATTAAGTTTATTATTTTCCTTTGTTTGAAGTTGAATATAGATTTAATTTATTAGACTTAACGCTCTTAATAACTCATTAAACTATAAAGCGTGGCCAAAGGCTCAATTAATTCTCTTTTGTGTTTGTACTTCTTAATCTTAGGATCTTTAATATCTTATTAAGTATGTGAATGTATAATTACCCGTAGGAAAAGAATGATTTGATGCAAGTGAATTAGTTTTAATCGGGGAAAAAGTAAGAGTGCAAAAGTCGACTTTTTTAAGTAGCAGAACTAGGATTAGTCGTGGAAAAGTATGCCCCAGATTCAATCAAGATCGCTTCCATTCCAAGCAGTTTCACCTGTCATTTGAAAAAACGACCACACACATCGAAATTGGGATCATTAATTTCAGTCCCGATGTTTTAGCTGCAGGGCATAACCTGCACACCTTTGATAGAGGCATCTTTGTAACCGGTGAGGTGTGTTTTGTGTCCGTTATGCACACATTTAAAAGAAGACAGCAAATTTATGTGTCTGGATGGATATCGGGAATGCAAATGTTCGTTTTCTACATTATTTTCCATTTGTTTTTGTTCCACCATTTGAATAAAAAATTGCAAAAATAAAAGTTATAGCATTAAGTTCGATAGAAAACAGGGCCAAGGGGCTTATATTTTCGATTACATCTAAAGATAAAGAAATATCCGTTTACAGATTTATAACATAGAATCCATTATATATCACCAGGGAATACTTTCGATCCGAGGTCAAAGGCCTTCTGTTTATGTTAATGCTTACATTATGAATGAAAATCACTACAATTAGACTTAATAGAAGCTTTCCGAGATAAAATTTAAACAAATAGGAAATGAGCCGGTTTGTAATTTATTATGCATATATATTAACATAAAATGATTAACGATAAGGAAAAAGGAAAAGGTTGGTAGATAGATAGCTTTAGGCTGTATCGAGCAGATGTGTTGGGCTCACTTTTGGTCCTACCTTCATCGCTGGAGTAGGGGAAAAAAACTCACTTTACTAAAAAAATTTTTGCTTTAATTATTTACCCATAAAGCATTATCGAAAATCGTTTAATGTTTAAAATTAATGTTAAACTGCAATTTGACGTTAGCAATTTCTGTTTGTAAGGGAGAATGTTTCTGAAAATTCCTTCGTTAATCGGGAACGTTCTCCTTCATGCATTTCTGCACACATTCTACAGTGGCTGCACTCGGAATTCTTCTCTTCTTAGTTGTAGCTCGGTTCATCTTTAATAATAATCCGTATTTATTCAATTTATGATTAAATGACTTCTGTTTATTGTACTCGGTATAATCGATGCATCCAAATGTGAGATACAAGAAAAAGTCGCCATTTTGGATTAAATGACGTTCTCACTCTACAATATATAAATGAATAATCTGTTAACACATACTCTTCTTTAATCATATTCAACGTTCACAATGATGTCAGCTTTTACTCTTATATAAGTAAGTTATTAAGTTAGAATAATCTTTAAGCTTTAAATTAATACTCCAACATTTCATCATTATACACTAATAATGATTTTTAAAACATATAGATAAATTAAGTAACATTCATATAGACTAGATAAAGTTCTAAAGTATATAGAAACTGTAGGCCTAAGTTTACATTTACACTTATTTATAAAAGTACAATACATTTTTATATGAAGGCTAATTATATTCGTGTAATAAATCTATACATTATAGAAGGAAATAAGAAATCGCCTCCATGTTTGATTAATACTTTACCGAATACCGAGTATAATAAGCTTTCATTAATTCATTCAATAGATAATAGATTTGTATTATGGTTTAATATATAAACTTTGTAATAGAAATGAATAATAATACAAAGAACTGTAATGAATCAAAGAAATTAGTCTGAACGTTAATAAAATATCATTTACAGATACAATATATTGTTTTATAATTAAAATTTATAAAAACACTTAATTTAATACAGATATATAATCTATATTAAGAAAATAACTGGTTTGTTTCATCAATAGAATTAAAAGTTTGAAGAAAATAGTAAAACTTCTTGAACTGTCTACTTTATCTTCCCATAGATAAGTCCAGTATCATCATACTTTAACCTATATAAGATCTGTTATTCTATATATATAGACAATTTTTTACTAAAAAGTTATATATTGTTTTTGCTCTTCTAGAATTTTGTATCGCAAATTAAATACCTAAACTTTTTTTTCAGTTTTCTACATCGTATTAAATTATAAACAACCAAGAACAATAATTTTTCAGACAGCATATCTGTTTATTATAGGCTATATCAATTAAATTGTTTAAGTAGTGACTATTATACTAAAATATTCTTTCTCTCTTATTGTTTTATATGCTGTAATGTGATGATACAATACTTTCAATATATTCTGATGCATCTCATTCATAAAACATCAAAATAACCGAGTAAATATCTATCTTGTGATTCTGATGAAGCGATGAAGGATGTTAAGTGTTAAAGATACAAAGATTTCGCAGGATTTCTAATTGATTCTATACGAGTAGCTGTTTAGATACTCGTGATTTAGCATTTTAGCACGAGTAGATACTTTCAAAAGTATTGTATAAATAAATATAACATCTACATTGACAGTTACAACAGTATTAAATTATTATAATATTTTACCCAGAGCAGAAGCGAGTTATATTTTGGCCAAGAAATCCCATCCCGATTTCTTAGACAGAAAAGAGCTTAATAAAACTTATCTATCTATGATAAGACATTACGATGTTTTTAAATTAGATAATTATATCTGAATATAACATAAGATTCGACTCCTCCGCTGTTCAAAATGATTCAAAATCAAAACTAATTAATGTTTTTGCTCCTATCAAATATCCACGAATATAACAAAAACCATTATTGCTTTGTAGCTATTCACAAAAAAATTGCTAAATTTATATGAAATTTTATATATCTGATTTCCAATTATACCCTATTAATGACCAAAATCCTCAGGCAAATTTTTATTAGAAACAATAGTACTAATCTACTATTTTAACCACAAGGAACGTTATGGATTTAGTTATATTACAATAGTTAATGTTTAAATAAGTTATTACATAAAATAAATTTGTATACTACAAATATCATTTAGGGATGCTAAACAAAGGAGAAAGTTCATTAACAAAATTCAGAGATTCAAGCCTACACCTAAACTTATCTCTAATTAAAATATCATTTTAACCATCTTTTCTTTCTAAATTTGGAGGATTTGTCTAAAATTTATCATTAATCATCAAAAAATTTATGAAATACGTTATATTCTTTGAACATAAACGTGTGTCATGTTTTCAATTTTATGTATTTTATTCATCTTTTCCATGTAAAAGCACGATAAGTATTAGTTAGATAAATACTTTCTTTCAACATAAAATGGACAAAACTGAAATTTAATTGATATTTTATTAATATAAACAAGTACAGTACATTTATTTAAATACACGCTTTATTTTTTATTAAGGATGCACTTTATACACTTTACAATCCAGTAGATAATTAAAATTAATTACGTTAGTCTCAAGTGACGGAGTACCGCTGTTATATATATAGAGAAATATTGAAATTTAAGCTATATAAAATGCTATTTTTCAATTATAAGTTTATGTAACAAACTCAATTCCGTACGAACGGTAACATTAAGTGCGAGAATAATTTCGATATTTTTCATTTGGAAAGGGGCAGAACACGTCGCGATATTCCTGGCGAATACTATTTATAACCTGGCACGAAAGAACATTTTTATTTCCATAAAATATTTTTAAAATATCCATTTTCGTATTCGCTACATGCATCGCCTTTTTAAAACACAATCTTCTAGCAACAATAATAGAGGGAGGCCCGGGTTTCATTCAGCGCTGCCATTTGCCAGATATCAGTTCTCTCGTTGGCCACATTTATCATCTTCATCGAAAAGAAGGAGCCGATAAAAACTTGCCAAATTGAATTCACCCGTTAAATCGTTATCAGAATGATGCTTGGTGTTTGTACACGGACTATTACATCTCTATCAAAGCTGCGGGGATGCGGTATCGTTATGTAAACTTCTATTTCAATGTAATTAGAAAAGTCGGCAATTGAGATATGCCCCACGGCCGCGGGGCATACATCATCCTAATCTGACAACTAACTCCACCTGGCGACGGTCTGATAGACGGATTCGTACCCGGGGATTGTCTCGTCTTTCGAATGGCGATTTTCCCAAAACCGTAATCCGCCGTTAAAGTTTTTATCCTCTCTGAGAAGAATAGATGGACTCATCTGAATCCTCTTAATACAAAAATTGCCTTCTACTGATTTCAGATTTCTGCTCTTCTTTCTTTTCCCTTTATTCCTCTTCTCGATGTCGGTCAGATTATGATTATCGAAAAAAGAAGACATTTTTCTACAATTTCGGCTCGTTTTCTATGTCTAAAATATGTTAAATACATTTTTTATATACGTGGAAATAGAGAGGTGTAGCGAGAGATGACGTAGCAACTTATAGTTTTCTATAATTGATGCGGTTAGACGTATGAAAATCAATTAATCTAAAGAATTTCCTTTTCAATTCTAGCTTATTTTTTTTTTTTTTAGTTGTAATCGTTAATTAATTTTTTAAAAAAGTAATTTCATTCGGGTGAAAATATATTTTTAAACGTAAAAAGAAAAGCTATTTTAATCTGTAATTATTCTAATTTCAGATATAAAATCATAACTGTACTGGAGGGTATACAGTATATACTATAGTATAATATATATAGTATATAAACACTGTATATATTGTGTTTCTTCCTACATATATCTACTCTCTGCTTATATGAACCTTCACATTTACTATAATTATACCAAAATATACGTAAAGATAATAGATAAAATTATTCGTTATTTTAAATTATCAGATCGACATCTTTATTTTTTACAATTGCTCGTTTTCTTCCTTCTAAAACCAATTTTAAATGTTAAATAAAATATTTTAAAAAAAATGGTAAAAATACCGTATACGCTCTGCTCAGTTTACAACTATATCTTTCTTGATAACTATTATCCATAAATTCTTATTTGCTATTGGTCTATTTATTTGTATAATACGCTCCAATTCGACGGGATAAAAATCGGGAGAAATTTTTAAGCGATTTTTACCATTTTAAATAGAATAGAATGCCTAAACGACGATTCGTTCTTTTGCCTCCATTACATCTCTAATGTACTCTGTGCGGTACGTATTCACAATCGAGGATCAAGAGTTATAAGTCAACCAATAAGCATTCGCCTACTTAATGCAGAATGATTTGTAATTGGTTAACGACCGACTCTGACTCACGATCCTTAGCCGAGAACACAAACGTGGAGATTATTTATTAAATAAAGATGTTCTTTATTCAGAAAAAAAAGCACTTGTAATATTATTTTAATTGTAAGTAAATTCGATAAATTGTTTAATATTAATGCGTTAATCGTAAATCAAAAATGTATTGAGAGATTGTTAATAAAGGTTTAATTATAGAGTTATTCTTTTAAAATCTCTCCCTCTCTCCAACTTGCATCCTCCACGAAGAGAGTCCATTTTTCTCCATATAAAAGAGTTTAAATACAATGAAACCTGTGTAAACTAGACTCGAACGGGTTTGAGCATTTATAGGCCCTATATATATGTATTTTTAACACAAAAATTCCGAATATTTTATAAATTATAATAAACAAAAGTCGAATTGTAAGCCAACGAAGCAAAGACGAATAAAAAAAAAAAAGAATTAAATTTTTTTAAATGAAGAACGTGTTTGATGGGAGTGATAAGATAGTGTTAATGAGGAGTGAGATTCGATATGGAAGAAGAAAACGTCCATTATAATTATGAAGATTTCAAATTACTAACACTTAAAAGTTCTTTGTATTTATCGTTTGTATATTTTATAATGCAAAAATGTTTTATGTAGCCTATAATATAAAAACTCGAATTTTTAATTATAGACATTAAGTCTTAATTTCTTTTATAGCTTTTAAATCCGGTCCTCAATTTTTTTTTTTTTTTAAAGTTATCTTGGAATAACAAATTAATTGCTTAATTGGTTGATTGGTTATTCACATCACGGCAATATAATGCTTACGTTTTAATCGCTTTATATCATGGGCTAACGAAGAGTCGTCGAAATAATTTATTTTCGATATCATTTAAAGAATATTTTCCTTTCTAATTAAAGGATTTTGTCTGTTTATTTTTATTTTTTCGAATAAATATCAGAGATTATTAATAATTTAATTACAGAAAGGATGTCTAAGAGGATTTTTATCTCTTTCTGGGTGTGCGGACACAGAAGAATCCCAAAAATTTACTTTGTTACATAAAAAAACACATAGAAAAGTAATATAAATTAAACTTTCTTTTGATAAGTGGTGAAAAATCAGTTTAAATTTGTTTTACTGATTTTAATTAAAGATTTTTATGGTTATTAAGCTGAGACGGGTCCTACTTCCGAATTGATTTGGATCCTTTCTAACACTAAAATATTTTAATTGTAAACAAAATTTGTATAAAAGAAATATTAAGTGTTTAAAAATAAGTAAACATATAAAATTATTATGAAGTAATACCTTAAAAACTAAACGATTGTATAACATTTTATTGATATTATAGCTGAATATTTCATAGTTTAACGAAGTATTTAATATTTTGTAGTTTTAAAACAATTTATATAACATAAATCAATTTAGTCGCAGTATAACTCGAGTATAAAAGATATAAAAACTCTAATATTTTAAATGATTTAATGAAATAATTTTTTAAATGAACAAGAACTATTTATTTTTTATGATGATGAAAACATTGAATTGCAATTGATTTTTACGCTCTTTAAGAAAGAGAACAGTTTAAAACACTGGAAATTTAAGTCATTTAAACCTATAACCGTATAAATAAACTATAAAATTAAATATAAGCTACAATAAATAGTTTTGTTAAATAAAAATAAGTAACTTCCATTATTTATTTATTTATATTTTTAAAGTAAAAAAAAGTAATTTTAGATATTTTATCTTTCTTTCTTTTGTATTCACAATGCTTTTTCCAGTTTTACTGAATCAAAATATGCAAGTTTTTATATACTCTTGACTAGAATAGTCATTAGTTAGAATAAGTGAATTTATAAAAACAGTAAAAGAAAAAGAAAAAAAATGCTTTCAGTATATTTTTTAAATATGAATTTCAAATAGATTTATTGACAAATGCAAAGCGAGTCGTTTAATCATTGTACTGTATATTTGAATTTCATAAACTTAAAATGGATAAACTGTAGCCAACTCCTTTGTGAAATTAATATTAATAATTATATTGTAATCTGTATTTAAACTTTGATTGAATTAAGCTATAAATTAAATCATTTCGTTTTATTATTATTATTATTATTTAAAAACTTTACTACAAAACTTTCTATACTAGAAGACTAATGATGAAGTGATTTTTATTATGATAAAAAGTACTTAAGAGGAGAGGATGCTTATTAATTAAGAAGATAATATTCTATAAAAATAATTTTTATGATAGAAAATTACTGTGTATATAGAATTCGAGGAAATAAAACGGAATAAGAAAAGTGAATTGACAAAGATATTGTAAACTTTTCTAAACGTTATTTACGATTAATTTTTACTAAATTAATTTAAGAAATTGTATTAAAATGGATGAAATTTATACAAATATGCAAATGTTTTCAGGTCCACGATCCAGACGATCAAAAGAAAAGAAGAAAGCCGACGAGAAAAGACCAAGGACAGCATTCACTTCCGATCAATTGGCCAGGTTAAAAGAAGAATTTCAAGAAAATCGTTACCTAACAGAAAAACGAAGGCAATATCTCGCGAGGGAATTAAAACTAAACGAATCACAAATAAAAATATGGTTCCAGAATAAAAGAGCCAAGATTAAAAAAGCCAGCGGTCAGAGGAACCCTTTAGCTTTACAATTAATGGCTCAAGGACTGTATAATCACAGTACGAAACTGCTAATGGAAGAAAATGGAAGAAAGAATACCTCATCGACGGCATTATAGATTTACATGTGATATCAAACTATTTATTAAGCGAAAAAAATAAAATAAAATAAACTGAACATTCCTCGATTCCATAATAATGTAGTTACCAGAAAAATCAACGGCCACGTCGTAGACTAATAAAATTACTTATTTGAACCGGTAGAAGCTAATTGTACGAAAGATGTCTTATCAATGGTTGTCTCTTGTGTATCGTTGTTTTGTAATTAATCGGAGAAGCTTAGAAATAACGCAGCTTATCTGATATTTACTGTGATTGACCAACGAATTGAATGTATTAAAAATAGAGTTAAAACTATGTCTCTTGGTGTCTGATTTTTCATTCAGTTCTTTCGTTTGTGGCCTGTGGAAAGTAATGAAAATTCTCGAATTCGTCTCTTAAAAAAACAGGAAAACAAAATATAAAATAAAAATTCAAAGCTAATGTAACAAAATACAAATTTTAATCTATGTGTAACTGCATACATAAAAAATGCTGAACTTATATTTGAATTAAAAAATATTTAGTTTAAATATAATTAAAGTGTCGATTTATGAAAATTGTAGAGTAAATAACTCCATAATTATAGAAACGAAATGAAATAAATTACCGAATTTTAACCACTTCTAACCACTTATTAATAAGACGAAGCCACAGATTTATCGTAAATGTAAGAAGAAAGTTACGAATAAAATACACTGTAACTTATATAAAAAATTTGGAAGAACTAATAATATAAAAAGAATTCTTCCCATTGATTTACATCCCTTTCAATCATTTATTTATTTATTTATGAACGATTCAGAAATCTTAGTTTGATTTTTAATATTTCTGTTACTCTATTTGAGGTTTGAATATTAATTTGGCTAATTCAATTTATGAATAATACCATTTTTTGTGGAGAGATGAAATTCTTTTTTTTTTTCATTCGTTTATTTTAACAGTTTATGTCATAAAATACATTTATACAATCTGATGAAGGTGGAAAAAAAAAGTTTAATTTATGAGCTAAACACCGTTCGTTTAACATAGTTTCTTTCTATTTTATTATCATTTAATGATTGTAACATAAACACTTATTATACATATTATCTAGAGATTTTGAACATTTAATACCTTAAAAAAAAACCTAAATTATCTTGGAATAATCTTGAAGGTTAGATTAATTAAAAATTATAATTTGAAAACAAGTTTAAGTTTATGCCACAAGGAAAAAAGAAGACATTTCTCTTTAGTTGTTTAGCAGGGACTCTATCCATATATCATTATATTATCCGAAAGTTGGCCTTGATTATCAAGGACAAGAAACTCAATTGGGCAAGCTTCGATGTAGAGAGATAAAAGAAATAGTGTTCATATTAACTATAATTATTTTCTCTGTGTATAAATAGGATATGCATAAAAAAAGCTAAATCTCCAATTAATATCAAATATGGCAATTTTTATTAAAAATTAGATATGAAATTGATTTATATTCTCATTTAATTATTACAAAAGCTAGTTGCTTTCTATTGTTTTACACACATTACGTGATCCTTTACGAAAATATTTATAATAAAAGATACGTAATTACAAGTTTATGATTAGTTATACTTATTATAACCTCAAACTATGAAAACAATATATATAAAAATGTAATTAAAACATTCTTAAGAATGTATTATTTCCATTAAAACGTCGGTAATTTCTATTAATATAAGTATTTTTCAGTAATTGTATGTCCAATAGAAGGCCTTGAATATTCATAAATCGTCTTCTTATATTGATAAAAACCCATTAAGAAGTATTATCAAAGTCGAATAATTATAAAATTATGTCATAAAATATTTAAGATGCTCCGATGAAATTTTCCGGACGGGCCTTATTGATTGATAATTATATTATTATATTGGATCATTGGATATTTTATAAACTAAAACAACATCGGGCCTGTATGCTGTGAGACTTGGAGAATAGGATTACTGTAAAGGTAATTTTAACATACATAAATGTCCAACATAAAATTGGACATACTAAATTTAAATATTGTCTAGTTTTTAGGATAATGTAACGTTTAACGTTTTATTCTTATGGTCTAAATAAGGGGTCCTTTCCAAGAGGAAGGTTATATAAGTAAATTTAAAAAATAATAATCAAAGAAAATATATTACAAATATCGTAAGTAATTTTTTATTTATTATTATTATTATCTATAAGCAACTCGAGCCATTGTTTGGGGGGGACCCCTGGCCTAAACAATAAGAGCAAACAGCCATTGCAATATTGAGAGCATCCGAGTTCTCAAACTCCACAATATGACTTCAGTTATGCTCAAAATACTATTTATTGAGCTACTAATATAATTGAATTAAGAAAAATCATAATATATTAGTGGTCTAATTTCTTTCCATTCAAAAATTCTTGAGTCAACGCTTATATAGACATTAATATTAACAAATGGGTAAAAAAATGAACACCAATAAGCCCATTTTTCTATATTTACAAAATTACACAAATTATAAATTGACTGTTAGATCCATCAATATTTTGCCTTTTATTTAACAAATGAAATACTTAGAATGCTCCCTTTCTCGAAGACCCTCTCTAGAGCAATCTATTTGATGTACTACATTGATTTTAAATTTTAATTTCGTACAATTGAAAGAAAATTTGGAACTCTTACAGCTACGGATTGGTTTTCAATTTAAATTTCTATTATAGGCCACGTAGATGAAGATTTTCCGGGTCCTCTAGGCATAAGATTTGACCTCCCTCTACATAATTTTACATCATAAACATTTAATTGTAGCTAAAGAATTATGTATAAATATGATATAGAATTACAATGGTAAAATTGCTTTATTTTTTCCAATTATTTTCGGGATCTCGAGACCCGGAGGTCCTAGGCATAGACTCACGTGCCTGGTGATAATCCTGTACTGCTTACAGGCTTCTATACTTTGTGGTTATTGGGTCTTTATACAGTATTCACTATCGTATACTAGCTAAGGCCTTTATAATATCGAGTATTATGAGGCATAGCCTTTATATAAACTTATATAAAAGGGGTCCTTATAGGGCCTATATTATAAATCCACTCTTGTTTAGGGCATTGCACAACCTAAAATCATCATTGTCTAAGAATNGTGAGACTTGGAGAATAGGATTACTGTAAAGGTAATTTTAACATACATAAATGTCCAACATAAAATTGGACATACTAAATTTAAATATTGTCTAGTTTTTAGGATAATGTAACGTTTAACGTTTTATTCTTATGGTCTAAATAAGGGGTCCTTTCCAAGAGGAAGGTTATATAAGTAAATTTAAAAAATAATAATAATAATAATAATAACAACGACTACTTTAAAAAGTATGTAAAATTATTTTAAATTTCGAAATACGATTATGTCGCTATTTTTATTATTAATTTGATTTTAAACGTCATAAATAATCAATTTAAATAATCAAACTATGAATTTTAAATAGAGAATATAAACGCGATTAAAATTCACTTAAACTCTTTATTATTCTTTATAGTTTTAAAAGAGTTAATGAATTTGTCATTGTTGATATAATTTCCATTCATTCGTTCTCAACTTGTCCAATTTTAAGTCATTCATTTCAATCAATCTCTTCATTCTCTTCTCTTAATTAGAATTCCGATCCATCCGATCTCTCGAGAAACACGTTATTTATTAGAGTGATTTTTATTTAAAATAATTTATCAAATGTATCGGAAACGTGGATCGAATTTAAGTATTTGCTATTAAAATTGATGTTTGGCTACACTATTTTCCACAAGAATATGAAAATCAACCATTAATTTAGCTTATGAAACAGCAATTACGCAAACGGAATCGTACCCATTGTTTGATTGTCAAATTAATCTTTAAATTTTCCATTTTTATCGTACAGAAAAATAAAGAAAAAATAATAAAAAAAAAGAATTAAATTTATTCCTTGTTTTCTTCGGATATAATTCTCAAATTTTTCTTTAATTTTCAAGACTTTTTTCTATATTAATTTTAAGTTAAATATTTGTTACGTATCATTAATTCTATTGTATTTCTTGTGTTTAAAAATATCTTTATTTGGCAAAACACTATTTAAAATGTTCTTTTGATTATTTTTAAAATGTACTATAAAAAAGGCAAATGAACACAAGTTCTCTTGACTTTTGAGAAGCCAAGGACACAAATACGAGGCCTCATCACTCTCCAAAAATCATAACAATAAACGAATAAAATAGAAATAGAAATAGAAATAGAATTTTTTGACAAATTTATTTAAAAAAACTTTAATTTTTTAATATGTATTTTACATAAAAGATTCATTTCTGGACCTCTCTATGCCTCGGATATAAAGTGGTTTTGCTGGCCTGAGTAACAAGTAAAGCCTACTGAATAAGGCTTCAGTTTATAGGAACTAGTCTAAGGAAGAGTAATTAATTGGAATTTCATATATAAGTTGTTATAAAATTTAGAACAGAATTTTGTTGAAGATTTGAATTCAACAAATAGCAAGTTTACATCAAACTTAATTCGCTTTGTAGCCTATAATGCTGTTATATTGATACAGTAACTTCAATATTTTATGTAAATGATTTTTTACCGTATACAACGAACGAAGTAAATAAAATATAACTTATATTTTATGATTTCATTAACAGTTATGTCATAACACAATTACAGATTGAAACACGCAATGCCTTATCTTTTTAGATAGATATCAGGACAATTGTTTAATGTCCGCTTAGGAAGTTACTACACGAGCTGAGAGACACTTTCATCCTGTCCTTAATTGCTGTTTATTATTAAGTTATGCTAAAAGATATTGGTATGCTGATATAATGACTGCAAAAGGAAAATACTTGTTAATTTGTTAGGCAATGTCCCAAGTGATAAGTCGCCATCTGCATAATAAGTGTCGAAGTTAATTTGTTATTCTAAGAACTATAAATCCTACGTAATGCAATTTATAATAAAACTGTTGCTGTTCTTAATATGTTAGTAATAAGTAATATTTGAAATGAAAAACAATTCGGTTAGGCAAACTAAAATTAAAAAATCATATGCTGCTACCAATATATTTTTGTTATCTTAATCTACGACTCTTAATGGACTCTCGATAAGTCGAATTTCCTTTAATGCTTTTAATTTAATATCTTTTATTTCGATTATATACAAAAATATGTTGAAAAAATGTAGTGATGTGTCTCGATAACACATAGGCCTATACATAAACACGTGAAGCATATACATACACAGATCAAATATTTGCTCAAATTATAA